ATTTGCCTGAAAAAATTCTTGGTAAGAAATACAAAGTTTAATGAAACAAATATAGCTTGGATTTAACACATAATCTAGGTAATGGTTACAGAAAAACAAAAAAAGCTTTTGGGGGGGAAATTCTAGAGAAAGTTTTTATATAAATATATTAAAATAGGGATGTTCAGAAGCTAAAATGGATCGGGGTATTTATTAGTCCAAATTGATTTGCTGTTGTTACTGTTGCTGTTTATTATTTTCACTGTTTTTAGCCTGCCTTGTTTATTTCACCTTCAGTACCATGTCCAACACTCTACGTACGCCACTATTGGTGATAATGATGTGGATATAATTAAGGCTGATTTTGTTATTTAGACACAAACTCACAATATTTAAATAAGAGAGTTCTACCATACTTGTTATAACTATATTTTATAATGTTTTCTTAACATTCTAAATTAAATTTACACAGAACATCTGCATATATTCTCTGTAAAAAAAAAAAAAGTAATATCCTACCTATATAGTCAAAATAAAAGCAAAAAATGCCATACATTACAAAAAAAATCAATATGTATTTCAATAAATGCTCAGTGGACTCCACTAAAAAGAAAGGAAGTAATAAGTCACTTGCACCTGGGAGGAGCATCATTGTTGATGCAAATGTTACAAATGCCAACTGATGCAGGAGGGTTAGATGTTGGAGTCTCAAATACCAAAAGCAGTCTTGCTGTCAGTAAGGTGATTTTATGAAGTGGTTACAAACTCTTGGGAAACTTCTGAACAAAACAATACAATCTGATCTCAATTTTACATGGTAGGTACATTCCTGGAAAATTCAATAGAATATTACTGTACAAAAATACTTGGTGTTTATATGTAGAAGAGAGCTAAGGGTTAGGCTCAGGAAATTGGAAATAATTTTTTCATGTCCATGAATGTCTAGTAAAATATTCAAAAGGCTGCAGGATAATTCTTTGTTTTGCACTGAACATTGCAGAAAGTCTTGTATAGACACCCCCACAAATTTCTATAAGGTTCTCTGCAGGCAGTACACCCTTGCTGAGCATCTGTGATATGACCCAACCCTGTCACTTTGTGAATGGACAAATTGAGGTCCTTGAGTGTTGGATTCCTGGGCACTTCAGGCCACTCTCCCTGGGGCCAGCTTAACGTGACCCCTGAACTTTTGACTCTTACAACTCTGTATATTTGTAGCAGATTAACTCAGGTCAAGGTCACTCAAGACACAGAGCTAAGAGTGGACTTTGAAATTGGCTCTCAGGTTTTAGAGAAGAGAAAACTTGGGTCAAGGAAGGAATGTGACAGATTTGGGAAAGGAATTTAATTTCCCAAGAGTCTGCTGCCAGAAATATATCAAAGTTCTGGCTACTATGCTGCTGCTTTCAATTATTGTAATAAAATATTTGCTTATTTATAAGTTGCAAACTCAAGGTGACAAGGGCCAGGTACATAGATGAAGCACTCACATCGGTGGCATGTCATGCAATAGGGAAGTGTGAGGACAGGAGAGTACATTCCCTGGCTAAAGTCATTGACTTTTCAAACTCAGGTGAGGTCTCAACCCAGTTGAGTAGTAGGATCTGATCACAGGTCATCAATTTGCCTCTCTTGTCTGAAAGCGACATCACCACTTTGAACCACTGATCTTTTGGTTAGCAGCCAAGCTCTTAACCACTACGTCACCAGAGATCCCATGTGTACTCATACCTAAGTTAATTTACTTAACGTCTGCTAATCCCTGAGTAGGGAAGAACAATCTTTCTATTTTATGTGGTTACTCAGGGTGCTTCCAGCACCAATATAATAATCTTTTTGAGGGTTATTGTCTCGCTTAATGCATATTTCATCCTTTAGAAGTCACATGGATGCCAAGAATGTGAAGTATAACCACGAGGACGACAACGCTCCCTTTGTATTGCACTCATAGCTCTTTATTATTTTTAGAAGTTTCTGGAGCAGATATAATGTCTGTGCAGGTAGCAGGAAAAGACAGCATACTATTCCTAGTTGCAGAGCTTGAGATTCCTCAAGGGACTATTTATTCTCTTTATTTCTTGGCTCAGATTGAATGCTCATGAAAAGAAGAATCATGTAATACTAGACTAGAAGAGCCCTTGGAGATGTGTTAATTCTACCCCTTTTCTTTTGCAAAATAAGAAATAGATTACCAGACAAAGAAAGTGACTTACCCGTGATTGCACAGCAAGGCAGTGGTAGAGCTGGGGTTAGAACTCTGGTATGCTGATTATTGTGCATTGAACCCTACAAAGGCTATGAGCCAGAGGAACCAGAAATCTGAGTGCAAGGTGGGCCATAGGCAACAGCAGACATTTTGTCCCTGGAGCCATTTTCTTGGCCCAATCTTGTACCTTCTGGTTGGCCCACGTCATATCATCTCTAAAAATATCTAAAACCTGAGGCCTTGGTATAAGGGCCACTAGCAAACTGGAAGATCTCAATCAGGCATTAATTACTTATCCTTCAAAGATCAGGTCAAATATCATCTCCTCCAAGAAGGCTTCTCCAATCACTCCACCCAGAATTGATTGTATTTTCCTCTTTTTTTCTGGAGCCCATGGGACTCAGGTTTGTACATTCATCAAAGGACTGATCCCAGCCTTCCATTTAACCACGGTGGTCATGTCTAATCTTTTCCTTCCAGTTCAATGTGAAATCTATGGAGTCAGGGGCTACTATATTTTCTCCATATTCTTTCTCCTTTTTTCCTTAGT